CACGAGGCTGTGGTAAAAGAACAAGTTGAGAAATGGCTAGCAGATGGAGTGATAGAAATTAACCATCAACAGACGCCAGTTAACTTGGCACTGCTAGCCGTAGACCAACATAACTCTGACGGATCATTTAAGAAAGTCAGAGTGTGTTTAGATATGAGTCCGATAAATAAATTATTGCCGACTCATAGCTTTCACTTACCTCGTATTAACGAGCTACTGCGAAGGATGGAAGGTGCTACAATATTTACAACTATAGACCTTACACAAGGATACCATCAAATGCAGGTATATGAACCACATCGTAAATACTTTAGTTTTACGTGGAAAGGTAAACAATACAGGTTCAGAGGTGCACCTTTCGGGTTACACTCTTTACCAGCATTCTTCCAACAAGTAATGGAGGAAATATTTGCAAACATGCCTAACGTGCAAGTCTATATAGATGACATAGTCGTCTTTTCTAAAACTAAGGGCGAACACGCCGCATTAGTCAGACGAGCCCTTAAGAGACGCAACGAGCAAAACTTCAAGATTAACGAGAAGAAATGCCACTTCGCCATGAGCGAAATACAGCTCTTAGGCTACAGTATATCTGGGGAAGGTATTAAAATCGACCCCGGTAAGGTAGAACACCTGTTAGATTGGCGAACACCAACTACAGGAAGAGATGTTAACAGCATGTGTGGGTTTGTAAACTTCTTTTCAGATGGAGTACCACTCTTAGCTGATTACCTTAAACCTTTTGGACACTTAAGATGTCATAAAGGCAAACTAGGAGACTTGTGGACTAACGAGTGTGATGACGCATTTAAAGCGCTCAAACACGCAGTCCAGCAAGCCCCTGTTGTACAAGGACCAGTTGATGCCGTGCCGTTTGACATAGCAACGGACGCCTCCGACTTAGCCTTAAAAGGGGTATTATATCAGGTTATAGATAACAAGCCTAGATATATACAATTCTTTAGTCGAGCAATGAATGCTTCACAGTCGAATTAATCAACTGTTAAACAAAAGCTATTAGCCATCGTGGCAGCTCTAACACACTTCCGAGATTATTTATACAGAACAGCATTTACGCTGATGTGTGATCAGAAATCTCTCCAATATATGAAAGAGATGAAACCCGACTCACAATTACTGAGTCGCTGGCATGATACAATATCAAAGTTTCATTTTGATATAAAACATCTGCCAGAAATACATAACCATTTACCGGATATGTTATCACGCTTCGTACCGGACTTTAAATATCCGTACGTGAGTTACTAGCCACTGACTGGATATGTAATCTCAGGTGGTTTGAACTGGCTCAAAAGATATTTGGGCCACATACCATAGTTATGTTTGCTGCATATCATAATGCACAACTATCGAATTACAGGACTTTAAATCATCCTTTGGGAGACGCCTTTCAAATAGACCTCTCCAAAACATAATGCGTGGGCTAATCCACCATGGCAGTTAATTGCCCAGCTATTAAATTATGTTCATATACATAAAGCTACCATCACGTTGTGTTGCCCATTTCGGAGTAAAGATCCATGGCTCAATAAATTAATAAGCATGATACAATGCGAGCCAATATATTTAGATAGGGAAGTAGATACTTTTCTATATCAGGGTACCCGAGCCGTCCAGAAGACGCCCTGGAGACATACTATAATATGTCGTATAGGTTCCATTTGAACAACCAAATGGACCCCTTCTGAGCCCTTTCTTAATAAGGTCAAAGAATCAGAGATTCCACTCTCTACTAATTTGAACGTTAAGCAGTTCAATGGCAATAGAGTACGCGAAGTTTGTATACAAGAGATACAATCTACTATTGACACTACAGTTAAGAAGTGTCAATCTCTAGCCCGGACTTTATTTAATAATATAAAGTCCAAGCCCTAAATCTTTCAAACCCTATTTTTTAAAGGGATTAATGAAAGATAACCCTGAAGTACATGCACATATAATGCGACTATTAAATAAGTCGAGTGTAGCAAATGGTTATGAACGTACTAAAGATGCGCACGCAGTAAAGGGTCAGGAGTATGAAAACACTACAGACTTAGAGCATACGCAAGTGGATTCTCAACACCCTACCTTTATTCTGGAAGAGCGGAATGATGAAAACATTCTCGCTTGGCTAACGCAAAATCATAAGCTGAAGCACCAGAACGTAGTAGAAGCACTTAAAGATGCCAAGCAAAATGGGTTAGCGCACCCTAAGTTGGCAACTTTAGTGGATAAAGTATATCAGTTATGTACAAACTGTGATCTCAATCAGATCAAGCGCTATGGGTTCGCACCACTTAAGTATGTGACCGAAGATGTTCCATAGCGCAGGGTCATCATTGATCTGGTTGACCTGCCTACGTCCGAGCACACAAGTGACCGTTACTTATGCCACTTCTTTGATGTGGCGTCACGGTTCAACTTGCTCTATCCATTAAAGGATAAGAATACGCAGACCGTGGCAGAATTAGGTTGCCAAATCTTTGCTGACCACGGGTGGCCAGGTATTATGTGCTCTGTTAACGGTAGTGAGTTCTGCGATGACGTAATGGAATCGCTAGCACTTGTATCAGGCATATGCCATAAGAGAGGTGTGCCATATAAACCGCAAACGCAAGGGGCGAATGAAACGCGCCATAGAAGACTTAAGTTCTTCTTACGTACTACATTAACGGAGGATGCAGATGATTGGCCGTACCACCTTAAGTGGGTACAAACACAGATGAACGAGTGTGCTGATCCGGTTACAGGAACTACACCCGCTCACTATTTTCGTGGCGGATATAGTGAGTTACAAATAACCTTTAGCAAGGACGAACCGGATCACCCTGAGTTACCATGGTTAGAGAAGGTACAACGTATTTATAACGTTGTATATCCTTGCTTGAGAGAAATACGCAATATAGCCTTATTAAAAGAGGCGAAGGCGTTGGAACACTACCAAGAAGATAGCAGAGTATCAGGTCGGTGACAGAGTTAACATCCGTCAACATAATTCCGATGCTACTGTATTAATATCTAAATGAATAGGTCCATATATAATCTCTGTAGCAGACACTAAAAGTGGAACGTACGAGGTAAATAACCCCGATGGTTCTAGTGCGCTTAATATAGGCACAAGTCGTACTCCGACTACAGAGATTATACTCGCAAGAAGACATGATTCTAATGTCCCTCTTGACCGCTCCGAATTTAAAGATATAATATGAAGAACGAATAAAAGAGGATATACATACTATCGTACTCGCTTTATAGACGGTACAATCGCTGAGTTGACTTCAGATTCTTTCGATAATCAAGGCTTTTAAAAGCCTTTAATCAAAAATGGCGTAAACGCCTGCTTAAGTCACAAGCTGATAAAGATAGCATGTTTCCATCGTCTGAAGGCACGAAAGTTAAAACTTACCCGCCTACAGCATTTATCCCGAGCTTTAATGCTCATCCTTCATATGTGCTTAAGACACTGAATCGTAAGAAACGTCCAGTTGACCACCACGGACCTACTGGGCCTAAGCCCAAAACTCCCAGGGTAACCGAGAACGCTTAAGTTCTTCGTCTAAAAAACATTAACTATGTGTTATGCTACTTAATGTTTCGACCCGTTTTTAACGGTTTTATTAATTAATACCTTTTCCATTTTACATATCAGATGTTTCGATGAAGGCCATTAAAAGGCCCGATTAAAATGCCAAAGATAGGATTTGGAATAGTTTTATTAATAGAACTAAATTTTATTCCAAATCTATTTATATCTGAATACTTCGGTAGCGAGATGGCTCAACCGAAAAAATTTTCTAGGGACTATTAATGTTACCTAGTTGATCTTCCGTTCAGCCAACCAGATGTGCCAGTCTGATGATGGCAAGTCGGTAATTCTTGATAAGTGGAAAGATATTGGTTAAGATAATAACAAAAGACATCAAGAGTATTGCTGTTTTCATGAGGCATACCTAACTTTACTAAAGACTCATTTCGTTTATTTATTTCAAATTTCACTATACGTAGATTTAACCTAAGCGTTCAATTACTCTAAGACGTTAATATCGCCTTGATAGACCGAATATTACAGGGAAAACCTTTCCCGACCGCTACAATCACGTCCACGCACACGAATGCGTGTAGAGGCAAACACACGAGCTAATCTGCATTGGCCGCCAGCATCGAACCATAGGGCTCGTTGCCGGTCATGTGAACAGAATCTCCCTCCTGGCCCAGCACACGCACCACGTTGTCCAAAGTTAATGAGAGCACCGATATCAACTAACACGGGCAGCCATACGAGACATGGGGGTGCGCCACCACAACACTGTACATCGGCTGGGGAAACATCCGCGCGCACACAACAGGCACCGGGTAATACTTTCCGCCCTCGAGTTAATCTCGTGGATGGGGATGATCAGATGCCTGATTCGACGCCAGCAGAGGTGGGAGAGAGTGGCAGATGGCTCGCGGTGTTCTGTGGATGTTGTGACTATGAGGAAATCGACATTTTGCTACAGTCAGGTTGTAAATACGGTGTACTGTGACCAGATGCGGCTGAAAAGTTGAATACATCATCGCTCCCTACAGCGAGAAGATTTTACAATAACTGACACACAAAGGGTTTATTTTTACGTGAGCGATAGCTGCTACTTGTAATGATTCAGATGGGCTACCAGAGGGTTAAAATAAACTATAATATGGGAGAACCTTGTTTCACATGGGAACGTAATTAACAAATATAGCAGAAAGACATATTCCGTTTCCAATGGCACTTCTGTCTAAGTTCATTTATTCAGATTTACACGTGGTTAAATATGAGAATTGCTTAGTGAAGAGTGTTAAGTTTGAAATAAGTGAAGTCAACAAAGAACTATTTATCTATTTTGTCACTGGGAAGACGTCAACCGTGGCGCCACTGAGCTGCAAAACAAAGAAGGTCCCGAAGAATAAAGGTAGGAAACTGGCAAACGAGCTGATAGCGGAGTATCTGGTTATGTACCTGGTGGCACGGAAAAAGGTCATAACCTTGTGATGTTGTAGGATAATTACTCCTTTTTGTATGCAGTTCTCTACTCATTTTCAAGGCACTGGCGTCCATAATAGACAAAGTATGCCTTTGTGCTTCATACAGATCACAAAACGCTGGTTACGTTACCACAGACCACGCGAGAGCCTGTCAAGATCATGCCTGTATCAAAGTTCTTAGGAGTATTTCAGTTTGTTTGCGGTAGCGAAGACAGTAGTTATATTACGGTGTCTGTATGGTCCGGTGCAACAGGAGTTCCTAAATTCCTCGCATATGCTTGGGGATATGTCCATCTTTATGTCTCGTGAGCAAAACGGTCTCATCTTCAGAGACAAAGCAGCTAAGGAAATCGTCCTGGGGGTGGACGATAGTGGGGCCGTTACGCAGTGATTGCGTCGAACCACTTCAGTATGTATTTAATTTCCACGGGCGTTCTGAAATAGCCTGTTTCAGCGCCGGCTTTATGGTTTGCGTAACCCGTCGGTCCCTACTGTTGCTTTGTTTTATGGCGGTCGTGGCGTATTATGCTAAAATCTGCTGGTGGTGTGTCTTCAGTCCTGCTGCCACTTGCCAGTTGCCACTCAGAGCCAGACAGTCCTGGTCCAGAACAGTGGACACTGAACACTCTTATGAAAAAGAAGGCTATGAAATACATATGTACACGACTTCAGTCCTCAGACATCAGAGACCAGAGCGGCAGAGTCTACATATATATGTAGAGGCCCAAATTTATATAAATACACAAAAAGTCCAAAATTGTAATGTCAACCATGTTTACCTCCGGTATAAAATAATGTTGGTGTTGTAAGTACCGAACTGTTCGGTAATGTTCCTGGGCGTTAATAAGAGTGCGAGAACTTCTAAGTGTGGGCGATAACTTATAAGTGTGAAAACTAATAAGTTTGAAAAGTTCTAAGTTGTATTGTGCGGTTTGTTGGCGAACGGCCGCGCAGGCTCGAAAGAAGAGGAGGTTGGTCTATGATTGGTGCTTTTCGAACCGAAGTGCGGGGCAATATGAGCTGGAGGTTGGCAGATGACGATATATGTTGAATGGACTTGCAGGCTCGAAATTGAGTAGATACACGATTTGATTGGCGGCAGGATTCTCAAGGGAATCCTTCGGAGATAGTATAAATACGTGGTTTAGTTCATTCAAGATATTCATTCTGCTAAGGTAGACGTTTATTCAACTATCAAGGAAATAAACTAGGTTCACCGTTACATTGTGTTTTGAGTCGATCAAGATTACAAAATTATATTTTTTATAATAAAACAACAAAATTGTCGAGAAAAAGGAAAAAAAAAGATAAAATTGTCCACCAAAAAAGCCTTGTGGACCTTTTTTTTTTGAATTTGAAGTCTTCTTGTGGTGAGTAATCATAAAGAGGTGATACTCCTAAAACTCCATCGATGAATTCAAACTTTACCTTACGATCAATGATCATAGTACACCTGCACGTACATCTACTATATCATATGTTTGCAACTTAGGTGTGGACAGTTAAAAGAATAGTATGTACGCACTAAGAAATCGTGCTGCACAACACGACAGTTTTTACAGGATCAGACATACCTCGATGTATTTTTCTAGAGAGCTAAAGCGTGGTGACCCTGTTTTCAATAGTTGCACACATCGGTCCATGTCTACAACGAGAAGGAAAGACAGCCTGTACACTATCATGGGCGTCTCGCATTCGGCAACACAAAAAGAAATTAAGGATAGATATCGCAAGCTGGTCGTGTCTCTACATCCTGATAAGAATCTCGGTACAGTTATATGAATACGCGTCGGCGTTTAAATATCCCGTTACAATATCCCCTCAGCTGCAAATAATCAGTTAAACTTTGGTCCTATTGTTCCTCAGCAGTTGAATATACAATTGTAAATATATAGATACACACACACACGCACGCACACACACACACACACACACACACACACACACACATATATAAATATATATACACACATATATATATACCCACAAACACACACACAAACACAAAATAACACACACACACACATGCACACATACATACATACACATACATATATGCATGCATATATACATACAAACATACACACATATTACATACATACATACATACATACATACATATATACATACATACCTTGATACATACATACATACATATACATATATACATACATACATGCATACATTCATATATACATACATACATAAATGCATACATTCATATATACATACACACACACACACACACACACACACACACACACATACATACATACATATATGCATACATACACACATACATACATACATATATACATATATACATACATACATACACACATACATACATACATATATATACATACGTATATACGTAAATACATACATACATACATACATACATACATACATACATACATACATGCATACATACATATATACATACATACATACATGCATACATACATACATGCGTACATACATACATACATACATGCATGCATACATACAAACAAACATATATACATGCATACATACACGTATACATACACACACTATGTATGTATGTATGTATGTATGTATGTATGTATGTATGTAAGTAAGTATGTATGTCTATAGTTAGTTAGTTAATTTATTAGTTATAGTATAGTAGTTAGTAGTAGTTAGTTAGTTAGTAGTATACATGTATG